ACACGTTTTAATTCTTTTTGCTTTATAAATAGCTCCTGTAGAAGTTGGTTATGTGTCTTTCTTACTATGTTGTCTCCACTCAGACAAAAGCTGGGCAATTGTTCATGGTTAGTGCCATAAGGCATGATTGTGTTGAATTGTTACAGTAATAAAGTTGTTTGGATTTTTACTCGTAACCAGACCTCAAAATAAATGTCATTATTCTATATTTTATCTCCACAACCTCTTATGGCAGGTTATTTTTGGAGGGGGGAGAGTGGTGCTCTTAAATACCAAAGTATCTCCAATCTTAAAATCTTCTCTATTTCTCTAGAGCTTGTGGTTTGAACTACATAAAATTTCAGAAGCAACTGTGGCTTTCTGGTATTTGCCACCTAATGGCCCTTTTGTATATTATAAGAATTCCAGATTGTCACTCCACCCCCTTTGGGATATTTTAGAGATAACCATGTGTGTGTTTAACCAAATTTTGCTCAGAGAAAAGATTTATATATTTTGTTCCTGGTTTTAGATACTTCACTTAGTGGTACCTGTAGTAAAAGATAGAAGACTGAGCATATACTTTATCTCTGCTCTTTTCCAAGTTTCCACTGAAATTATAGAATAAAGAATAACTTCCTAATTGTACTGGAAAACAGGAATGGTGACACAGTGTCCACTGTGGATAAATGGAGGAAAATGTTCACTTCCATACAGTTAGTAAGAGTTTAATTGCCTTAGTCATTATTTGGAAGGCAAATTTGGCTGTAAATACCAAAATTAAAGTGTATCCTTTGAATATGCCCAAAGGTGTATTTGTTAAGGTATTCAACAACCTTTATGATCATCAAAAGGAAAATCATTAAGTAAATGCCTGAATGTGTACATCCATATATATATTATTTGTATGATTATATTTTATGAACATTGTATATACATAGTAGTGTATGTATGGCATTAAACTGTTTTGAAAACATCTGCATACTAAGTTCTGAGTAGGGCCACCATGACAGGGGAGTGGGACTTGGTTGAAGGGTTGTGAAGAAGAAAGATGCACTTTAGCTTGTTTTTGCTGTATACTTGTAGCGCTATTTGAAAATTTTTCAAGTGAGCATCAAAAAATCAAATGATATGCACGAGGTTTTCTGTAGCTAGTTTTGTTTTTCCATGAATCTGACATCTCTTGAATTTCTTTTTGCTTATTCTGATTGTAGATGATACTATCTCGTGATTTTCATCAATCTTAAAATTAGTGTGACTCTTATTTTATGAGTAAATGGTTAGGATGACCTTTTTCTCTTGCTATGGTTTCTGAAAGAGTGTAGACCATTAAAAACATACTGTGAGTTATTTGTTCTACATTCTCTTGAGACAAAATGTTGCGCTAGAAACTAGGTTCAGTTTTTAAATAACACAGTTGTTGTTTTAATATTTAAGTGTCTTCAGTACCCTGGATGCATTATCATATGTAGAATAGACATGTTGCGCATTCATTATATCTACAATACAAACTGAAAAAACACACAGAATGGGGAACCAAAGAACGAGCAAACGTATTTTATTTATTATGATAATCCTTCTCAAGTCCTCTCTCCCTCTTTTGATCTAGGTGAAAGCAAGCTGGGAACATAATTAAACCAGTGCCGAGTGAGACAGGAGATAGGATGCACAAAACCCCCTGATCCTAGCCAACTAGATTTTGAAGTTGAAGTTAATTAAGAGCAATATACAAATAATCTCTGCAAATGGTGACATTTATAAATGGATTTTGAATATTCTGAAGCAGTTATGTAAATCACCAAGAGTAAGGCTCTAGGGGAAATGTAAAACATGCAGGCTCACCTTTTAATACCTTTTGGTAATGTTTTCATTAGACTTAATGTTTGTGGGGGGACCGTGTATCTGGAGGTAATCTGATGACAGAAATGTTGTAGCCCTGTGAGATGTGGAGCCCTAGAGGAGAGGGCTGCCAAGAATGGGACCTGTCGGTCAGGGTCAATGACAACAATAACAACAAGGAAACTGGTGACATTCTCTGTGGTTCTGTGGGAGGTTCTGAGCCTGCCCTCAATGGAAGAAGCAGAACTAACAAGACGCCGAGGAATCAGCACTTGAAGAAAGGGCGAGGCCTCAGTGCCTGTGAAGGTTCACTCCTAAGATGGGCTTTGGGAATGGGGATGACAAAAATGATAACCGTGAAGCTGTATCATTTAAGTGACATACGACTTTCAAGGAATTTTATTTATTTATTTTTTTTATTTATTTATTTATTTTTTTTTTTTTCAAGGAATTTTAGTTCATGGGATTTCAGTAGGACAAATAGCGGGCATGTGGTAATTGCTGTTAATATATAGCTGGGGAAACGAAGAATATTTAATGATATTTCGACGATCATACAATTGGCCAGTGATGGAACCGGGAACTAATTCCAGTCATTCTCGTTCTTACTTTTATAAGATATCTGCAGATTTTAGGGGTAGCAGCTTCTGGCACCGCTGCTCTAGAAGCAATTCTGATAGCACGTGATATATTTCAATCATGAATACTTCCTAGCTCCTCTCTCCAAACATTGGCCTCTCGGTCCTTCCACATTTTTCCTCTTTCTCCTTTGTCATTGGCAGAGGTGGACTTCTTACTAAGACCTTTTGCCATTTGCAACCACGTGGATGGAGCTAGAGTGTATTACGCTCAGTGAAATCAGTCAGAGAAAGACAAATACCATATGATTTCACTCATATGTGGAATTTAAGAAAGAAAACAAATGGACATATGGGAGGGGGGGAAAGAAAAAGAGAAGGAAGCAAGTCATAAGAGATTCTTAACAATAGAGAATAAACTGAGGGTTGATGGAGGGAGGTGGGTGGGTGGGGATGGGCTAGATGGGTGATGGGTATTAAGGGGAGGGCACTTGTTATGATGAGTACCAGGTGTTGTATATAAGTGATGAATCACTGAATTCTACTCCTGAAACCAATATTGCATTGTATGTTAACCAAGTAAAATTTAAATAAAAAAAAAGAAAAACAAAGACAATTTCATCTTTCTCTCCTCCATGATGTTTTTTTAAACATCAATTTTTTTAAAAAGTTTGTATATATATTCGGATCACTCTAGAAATCATTAGTTCTCTTACGTGCTGTCAGCTCTATCCTTGTTAAGTACTGCTTTTTTGGGCAGGGGGAGGGGAGAATTGTGCTGAGCTATTTTATGTAGCTCAGAATTGGATTTCTAGAGTCTCAGAGACTTAGGGAACTGGAAATGTGCTCTACATTTTGCCTATCAACAAAGCCTAATCAAGAATGCATTCTTTGCCAGCAACATTCAAAACAGAGATGATTCCAAGCTGTGGCTTGGAAATAAACTCCTTTTATTGCCTTTCAATTTATAGTGTTCTTTGCCTTCATTTTGCACAAATATTCAGGGAATTTTCCCATTTAGAGAACCTGATGCACAAATTAAGATATTTCAAGTAAAGCCATTCATGATCTGTAAGGAAAGTAATACAAATTGACATGTGATACTAGTCTGAGTTCCTGACAACAATCAACTTAGAATATGTTCCTACATATACTCTTGTGTCACAGGGAGATTGTTTTTAGATTAACAACCGTAATTTAATGAGACTAATTTATTAATCAGACCTCAATTTGCAAACTTGTGTTTGTAAAAAAAAATCGCATGTGTGGTATTTTGTGTGTTTTGTTTGACTGTGTGTTTTTGTTTTTGTTGTTGTTGTTAGCTTTCTTTGATTTTTCTCCCCACAAGTAATCTCATAGGTTATGGCTAGCAGAATTGTTCAAAATTAATTTTGAACCCTAAGACAAACCCTAGGTTATCTGGTTCATAGCAGCAGAATTCAGTAACATTTAAGAGCAATATAAATAATTTTCAGAATGCTCATGAGGATGGAACTCTTGCTCAATTTAAACAATTCAGAATTTTGGAAACTGGTATTTGATCTGTCAATCTGCTTGTTGGAATAACGCTTCTAACTAAACACAGAAAAAAAATTAACTGGAAGAAATGTTTCAATTCACAGAGCCAGAAAAAATAAAATAAATCTCAGATACCTACATTAAATTAACCCTGGATTTATCTTGCTAACATGGCAAGTCATTATATACTTAACACAATTGAGATACACGGTTTTGATGAGCAGACCATTTCTTGAAACAATATTTTCACAGTACATGAAATATAAGAGCTTGGGATAACACCACATTAACCCGGAGGGAGACAGTCATTGAAATGCTCATGATTTTATATGGGAGGCTGAGCAGAGTAAAGCTGAAGATTCTAATATACAGACAGACAAGCTCCCAAGCTGTGACAGATGTGTTCTCAAAGTCCATTTAAAAGTCAGTAGTTTCTAATTCAGCATTTTCTCACAATAATAATAGTGAATTTTCAATACTGTTATGCATTAGGCAGTTTCTAAGTGCTTTATGTGAATTGTTTCATTTAATTCTTTCAAAAAGTCCTAAGACTTAGGTTATAATTAACCGAATATTATAGAAGAAGGATCTGAGACACAGAGATTAAATTGTCTTGAGGTCACACAGCTAGATCTCAGGCAGTTTGACTTCAGAACCTGACTTTTAACCACTTTACATGGAGGTGATGATACTAATCATGATCAGGTTCTATTCTCATGATCTATTACTATGTAAACAGTTGACACCCCCGTCCCCACCACCTGCCCCGAAAGACAGCTGTATTTTACTCACAATTTTGTGGGTTAAGAATTCAGGAGGGGCTCCTCTGGGCAGCTTGCATTTGCTCCAGATGGTGTCAGCAGAGGTAGCTAGATTGGTGCTGGGGGATTCCCTTCCAACGTGGTCACTTACATGGCTGGCAATTTGGTATTGGCTGTCAGCTGGGAGCTTGACTGGGGCTATTGGTCAGGATCCTTGGTTCCTCTCCACATAGGGTTGCTTAGGCTTCCTCACAGGACAATGGCTGTATTGCAAGAGTTGAGTGTTCTTAGAGAGAGGAAGTGGAAGCTGCCAGTTTCTTATGGTCTAGGCCTGGAAGAGTAGCATAGCATGATTTCTGCTGGATTCTATTGGTCAACATTGTGACAGAGACCACCCAGATTCAAGGAGAATGGGTCTGCGTCTTAATGGACAGAGTGGCAAAGAATTCGCAGCCATCTTTTATCCATCCGAGGTACCCAGAAGAGACCATGAAAGTCCATATATTTAACATGTGACCTAGATTAAGGTTTCTCAAACTTGTCTTTACCTTTTCTTCTTCTGTCATGCTAGTTTTTAATGTTAAGTCTTTTTTAAAATACAGGTTTTCTTTCGGCTCTTAAGGCCTGTGATTCTGAGACAAGGTTGCATTATTTTTAAATGTAAAATACCTGGAATATAGTTGGGATTCTATAGATGTTTATCGTTCATCATTTTTCCTTTTACTGTAAGGCAACTGTAAGATTTAACAAATAATGAAGAATGAGCTACAACTCAGAGGAACAAAATGGATTAAGTTGTTTGAAAGTACAAATATTCTACTTTATCTTTTACAACATACACACTCCATTTCCCAGCTTGTCATTTCCTTGTCTGTCATCACACTTCACACCTGTGAGCTCTTTGGGGGCAGGGGCTCTGTCTAACTCATCCTTATACTGTATCCCCAGAATAAATACCATACCCTGGGAAATAGCAGGCACTCAGTAAATATTTGGGGAAACTTAACAAAGGCAACAAAACAACTTGAATGTATCTAGAATAATATACCAATAACTCTAATTTACTAATAGATGTTTGTCTTACTGAACACCTACTGTGCTGACTCCTAATGAAGCAGAAATGCATCTGGTGGCGTGACAGTTGAGTGAATGTACTTGTCATTTTAATTGTTTTAATACACATGTAAGCCAGGGACATGTATCATTCTATCTCTGATGAAGAAATTCAAAATGTGTACCGAAGTTAATATTAATTCGCAATTGTGTATCTACCAAAAGTTCCTATTGATCTCTACTTCAAAAGGTAAGAAGACCTCTTTGTCTTTCTAGTGAAAATGTATTTTAATCTAATTACAAGCCATTAGGCATTATCTATTTAGCTGAAATTAATACTAATGCCAGACACTTGGCCTGAAGTATCATCTTCTCATTTTGATGTAGAGTTTCCCTCTTCATTTGGTCTTCCTTTTTTTTTTTTCTTCTCAAATGATAAAGAATAAATAAGACTGAATATGCAGAGCACTACTTCGTTTGAAAATTGGCTTTCTCAGTACCAGGCATAAGTTTGTACTTTTCTACAACCCAAGGCCCGTAGAACCCCTACTGTTAAGCTGCTCCATGATACATATGAGATCTCTGAAATTCTGGTCTGACAGTTCTGAGATGACTCAATCTTGCTCCAAGTTCAGAATGTAGCTTATTCACATATACAAGGAAAAGGCTATAGAAACTATTTTCTTTGGGAGTGGAGTCAAATATTTGGTGGGGGAAAAAATAGCTCCATGAAGATAAACCAAGAGGAAGATGGGTAGGCAAAACTAATACTCCATTAGGAAAGGATGTGTTTTTAATCTCTATAAATAATCAGGGTTGAACCAATAGGATATCTATATCTATCTATCTACCTACCTACCTACCTATCTATCTTGATACTATGTAGAAAGAGATTTATTATGAGAGACTGGCTCACATTATTACAGAGGCTGAGAAGTCCCATGATCTGCCATCTGCAAGCTGGAGAACAGGAAAGCTGATGGTGTAGTTCTAATCCGAACCGGAAGGCCTGAGAACCAGGGATGCCGACAGTGGTAAGTCCCAGTGTGAGTCTGAAGGCCTGAGAACTGGGGGTGATGGTGTAAGTCTTGGTCCACATTCAAAGGCCTGAGAACCAAGAAAACTGATATTGGAGGGCAGAGAGCAAATTCACCCTTCCTCTCTGTCTTTTTGTTCTATTCAGCCTCTCAAGATTGGAAGATTAGATGATGCCCACCTGCAATGGTGAGGGCAATCTTTACTCACTCAAATGATTCAAATGCTAATATCTTCCAGAAACACCCTCACAGACACACCCAGAAACAATGTTTTACCAGCTATCTGGGCATCCCTTAGTCCGGTCAAGTTGACAAATGAAATTAACTGTCATAATCTTCAATTAAAGCATTCTTATCTGAATAATCTTCAGGACAGCAGCTCTCATATTTTTTGATTGTGAATCATCCAAATTCATTACTCTTTCTATTAAAAAGTTTTCAGTTTCAATTACATACTTCAATACCTGTTTTGTCTTGAGTAGCCATTATGATCTAGCAAAGCAATGAGTAGAAAGGGAGTGCAACCCTGATGTTTATAGCAGCATTATCAACAATAGCCAAATTATGGAAAGAGCCCAAATGTCCACTGAATGATGAATGGATAAAGAGATAAAGAAGACATGTGGATTTTATAGATACATATATAAAATGGAGTATTATTCCACATATGTGTGTATATATATACATATACATATATACATAATATATGTACATATACATATACACAAATATATATAGTACAATATGTATATAAATGGAGTATTACTCAGCCATAAAAAAGAATGAGATCTTGCCATTTGTAACAACATGGATGGAGCTAGAGAGTATTATGCTAAGTGAAATAGTCAGAGAAAGACAAATACTATATGATTTCATTCATATGTGGAATTTAAGAAAGGAAACAGATGAACATGGGGGAAAGAGGCAAACTATGGAACAGATAAGACTCTTAACTATAGAGAACAAACTGAGGATTGCTGGAGGGGAGGTGGGTTGGGGGATGGGCTAAATGGGTGTTGGGTTAAGGAGGACACTTGCTGTGATAAGCTCTGGGTGTTCTGTGTAAGTGATGAATCACTAAATTCTACTCCTGAAACTAATATTACGCTTATGTTATTAACTGGAATTTAAATAAAAACTTGAAACTACAGAAAAGAGAAAGAAGTATATTAAATAAACTCATTTGGCTACCCAAATTTTGTATTCTAATAACAGCTCCATGGACTATAAAATTAGAATAATTGCGTAAAATGAAGCATAGATATTTATTGTCTATAGATTATATTACTGCTTGTGGTCTTTTGATGACTGCCATGAGTAATAAAGAATTAACTCTTTGTAAGTATGAAGACCTATATATAAGAGTGGCTAACATTGAGAGACAAGGATGATGAGATAGAAAATATTTTAAAAATAGGAATTATTAAATCTCATAAAAATAAAGGTAGTCTGAAAATCAGTAAAGATCAGGTATTTAAATGATGATGATGATGACGACGACGATGATAACACAAAGGTAATAATAATACAACCCCAAACTCATACTCTAGTACACATATTTGAAAATAAGAATAGAATCAGGTAGAAAAATTCAGAGAAGTAACTAGTTTGAGTCAACTGCTCTCCTCTTTTATGTACTTCCCCTACCCCAATCAAAACACTCTAGCACTGAAATGGAAAATGATGAACTAGGGCATTAACAACAGATCTCACTACCAACTTCATTAAGACCAATTGCAAATGACTTATCTCAGAGAAATGAAGAGCACCTTCATCCCAGCAATTTCAATGGGGGGTTGCGTTTCACAAGCACACACAAAATATTATGAAAATGAGCATGTGTGGAGGTTTAATAGCTAATTTTCCAAGTTGATTATCTTGGCCAGTTCATTGGGATGCTCTTGCTTCTTAGCTAATTTAATTTGTTTCATCCTTTTTATTGTCTCGCTTAAATAGCAATTAGGGGAGATAGCACTCCATTTAGCCTCCTACTTGCCCCTTTGCTAAATCATGATTTCACCCTGTGCCAGATAGTTACGGGTATATGAAGAGATGGCACTGGTGAAAGGCAGAGTGGGTGAACATACTTGACTCAAGCCTGACTAATCCAGGGAAAAGTTGCCAGTGATCAAAGTGTGTATGTGTGTATGTGTGTGGTGAATACCTTTGAACAACTCATTTATTCAGATATTCAGAAATGTGAAGCATTCCTGCTTGGAAATTCAGATTCACCTCCATGATGCCAACCAATATGCTACAGCTATTTAAAAGCCAGCTTTCAACCTAGGTAAAATATCAGAACCCATCCATTTTGTACTTCTGTTTTAGAACTATATATTTGTCTATGCGACAAAAAGCTATTAGATGCTATAATACTTTTTAGTATATTGTCATTTAAAAAAAGCTTATTAATTGTTTGCTTACAGGTAGCCCCAGGTGAGTCGGAAGGGGCTTCCATGACATGGAGTGCTCCGCTAATAGACTTTGCACACCGCTCTTAAAACTGTATATTCTGATGAGAACAGTACGAGAGGTCTCAATTCAACATGTATAGATTTTATGCCTTTTTTAATAGATAAAAAGGTAGAATTGGTCTCTGCAGACAGCTTTACTTGGGGATGAAAAGACAACATAAAACAGAATGCAAAAAACACATCCTGTAGCTGACTGAAGACTCTTCAGGGCCGACTGGTTAATGAAGTTCAGCTGGTAAACTCCTTGAGGTGGTGAAGCCTTGGTGAGAGAGAGTGACTGACATGGCCTGGGTGTCAACCAGGGGACTTCTCTAGAGCCACTTGGTCCTTGCAGCTTTGTGAAATCCACAAAAAGCCACCAAAATAATGGCCCATATTTCCACCCTGTCCCTTAGTCCTCAGGTTCCTTATAGTTCAAAGTGTTGAGGGAAGATTGCAGACACCAGCTTCATTGGAACTTGCATCATTAAGGAGAAAGCAGAAAGGTATGGATCTTCCAGTAGTATTTGCCCTCAGGTATCTCATTATAAAGCATGATGGAACTCTATAAACCGGGGCACCTGGGTGGCTCAGTCGTTAAGTGTCTGCCTTTAGCTCAGGTTCCTGCATCGGGCTCCCTGCTGGCCGGGAAGCCTGCTTCTCCCTCTCCTACCCCCCCTGCTTGTGTTCCTGCTCTCTCTATCTCTCTGTCAAATAAATAAAAGCTTTAAAAAAAAAACAAAACCTCTCTAAACCTTTCGCATTACTAATTTCCTTTGTTTATCTTTCACTCTCTTGAATATGTGAAAGTAGAATCCACGCCCCTCCCAAATTGTAATATGATGAGGAAGTAGTAATCATCATCAGTAGTGGTAGTCTCACTCCCCTAGAAAGGCAAATGGAGTTCAGAAACCCGACTGAAAATGTGCCCTCAACTCAGCGATTTTTGCTTTAATGTTGTAGTTGTCCAGCAACAACAAATTGTCTCTATAGCAGAAAGGAACTTGTCACATGACTCTCTAGGGACTCTTGTAACTAGAATACATTCTAGTAACCGTAAAAGAGGTGTTTGTACACTAGGTAAAGGGCCCCGGTGTGTCTCTGAAACATAGGGGACACTCACTATTTACTGAGTGAATGAGAGAATGAATGCACAAAAATCTGGAAGGCCATTAGGAGGCTCCAAGATGCCAAGCCCTCCTTCCCTGACTGTGTGGTGTGGGAAAATGAGCAGCCTTCACTTTAATAGAGAGAGGAGGCAGCATCCTCAGTGGCAATTTTAGCAGGCAGGTAGAGAGAGAGTTTTGGGAAAAGACTGAGGGTTTAGGGGTGTTTATTTACTTTGGAGTTGGAATTCTAGAATGCATCGTGGAAAGGATTATCTAGGAGAGCAGCCGTGAGAAAAATCACTTGCCCAGGGAGAAATACAGAACCAGATCAGGAGAGGAGGATGGGAGAGAAGCAATGACTAGAGGGGTTTATACTTTGACATTGAGGAAGACCTGGATGAAATGCAGAGTGGGATCCAGTGGCCCCCAGGCTTCCACTGTGAAACTTGTTTTCTATTCTGCATTGTGTCAAGGATGTGTGTGATCTCCTGATCTTCCTCTGTTTCAGTAACCCCCAGAAAGGCACATCCTGCATAGAGACTAGCACATATTAGGTATTCAACACAAACTTATTAGTAGCATGAATTCATTAAGAAGTATGGAAGCAGGAAATGCAGGATACAGGCTTGAAATGAAAGAATCTTTATTGCTTCTAACTGCTAGGCCTGCCTTGTGCTGCCAAATCACTTCTGGCCAATTAGTTGGTATACTTGCAGCACTCTCCTGTGGAAGATATTATCTGACCTGTTCTAAAGTACCTGAAAGGGCAGAACTGAGGACACACGCTACAAGTCAGAGGCAAGTAGATTTCAGCCCCAAATATTCTAACAGCTGAAGTTATTCAGAATAAAAAAAAAAATGCTGCCTTAAAAATGTAGAAAATTCCAACACAGAAAGGATGCAAGTAAAACTCAATGACTGTGTCTCAGGGATGTTTTAGCGGGGGTCCCTGCATTGAGAAAGAGCTTGGTCCCTTCTACCATTAAGAGTTTAGAATTATTTTTGTGCCTGGTATTATGATAGTCTAATACAATAAGATAAAAGCAAACTAGTTAGGAAAGGAGACACGGATCCAATTTATGAAAAGGGCAATAGAGAAAAAGATTGCATCTATATTATCATTATGAAAGCATTTGCCAATAGGTATAGTGCAGAAAGTTAGAAAATGCTGTAATGTTGGGCTGTAATAGGGAACTAAGATGTACTCTGCAGAATGTAGGAGCAAATCTAAATTAGGAAGGGAGGGACTAAAGGGGTTTGGGGTCATTGAGAAAGGCTTCATGAAGCGGCTAGTTGTTTAGCTGGGCCTCCGGGAAAGGATTAGAACTGGGACCTGTGCAGGGGGGGGCCCTCCAGGGAGGACTGAGGCTTGAGTGCCAGCCGGTGAAGGAGGCTGCTGTGAGCCTGGCCTGCAAGGGGTTTCGGGAGGAGGCTGAGTGATTGGGTTCACTCAGGCCCTCGGTGTGTGCTTTGAATGGAGATGATGGGAACAATCAATAGTCATTTGAGGGAACGAAACACACTTAACTTCCTCTTGTCTGAAATCCTGCAGTACCCTGAGTCCATCGGCCTGCTAGTGAGGAGACCTGGGAATCCCAGCTGGGTCCGTAACTAGCTGTTTGGTGACGACACATCACTTCACCTCCCAGAGCCTTATTTTCCTCAATTATAAGGCAAGGGAGTTGGTGAAATCAGTTCTTCTCAAACTTGAACGTACAAATGGGGATATTATCCAAATGCAGCTCTGATTTTGAAGGTCTGGGATAGGGCTTGAGATTGTGTATTTCTAATAAGCTCCCAGGCAGGTAGTGCTGATGTTGTTGGTAGTGCTGATACACTTTGAGTAGCATGGGGTTGGATGAACACTACACAGATTAGTTTTAATTACGTTCTCATACCGCCTTTCATAGTTGTTTCATAGTTGCATACAACTACATATAGTTTATATAACTAGGTTATAAGGTTAAGAGTGTCTAGCACAGAACTTAATCCGTGGTAGTTACCCAATAAATATTCATTTACTAACATACAGTTTCTCCCTTAAACACTGTGATTACCTATGTTGATGGTTCGATCCTGGCTTTCAAACATGTTGTGCGGATTTAGGAAATCTCATAAAAGTCAAAGAAAAATCTCAGGACTTCCCTAGATCTTGTCTCTCAAGGCTCCTGCTTCTTCCAGGATAAAAGGAAATAATGGGCTGCATGAATACCTGACTGTTGCATTGGTTGCTTTAGGGAAAAACAATTAGATTGGCTTGCCATGCGCTGAGTAGATGGAATGGAGGTTTTCATTCCATTAACACTCATTCCATGAGTCATTCTAAATTCTTGAAAGTATGCCAATGAACCCCAGTGAATTTACTGCAGTTGCCACTGGTAGCATTTTGCCTCTGCATGCAATCAGCAATACTGTAATAACTTATTTCACAAAGAAAATGAGATTGCATGGTTTATTATTTACGCTACTGTTTTGTTTTAATACTGTTATTGTTCCTTTTTATAAGAAAGCATATTGATCTCTATCCTAAAGGACTGAGAAAGAGGAGACTTTAGAGTTCCCGAACTAGCTATGAGAGTATAGTAATAGTATTGACTAGTATTTTGTAATAGTATTGGATATTACTGAAAATGGTGTTACTGCTTTTTGGATTGATGGTAGTAATATAGAAGTGTTCTAAAGAGGTTGCATTGATTGCATAACACATACCTGATTACGGGAGATTTTTACCAGACTTAAGATGGCTTCCAACAAATGGTCTATGAAAGTAGTAAGATTTCTTTCAGTCCTGTGATGCCCTGATGTCTGACCAAAAGTCATTTACATACAGGACAATTTACAGTGGGAAAATGACATTCACCAAAGGATTCCTGAAGTTTGCCGCTTGTCACCTAATACATACAAGGCAATGTTGATCAAAGACAAGAAGAGGAAATATCAGGTTCAGAGTCTTTCCATCAAAGTGATCTAATAGCCCAGTGATAAAATCTATCACACCGACTTGGTATGAAACCTCTGCTAATTAGAGAACTCCATTACAACATCAAGCCCATAGAATATCAGTATCAGGCTGAATCTGTTCTGTCAAAAAATAGGCTGGTTGTACCCAAGCCATATTTAAGGATTGCTCCATAATATATGTGTGCTGGGAAAAATGTATTTGAGTCACTATACTTTAGACAGGTGTCTGAAATCCATATTCAAGTAGTTTAAGAAAAAGGAGGATTTATTGGAAAGATCTTGGGGGAGCTGCCATAATTGGAAGAAGAGTAGGCCGACCAAATCAGAGGAAGGGCCTCTTTCTTGGTTCCCTCTTCTCTTAATGCTGGCTTTATTTTCTCCCACTGCCAACCAGCTTTCTCTACTTGGCAGTTATAGGGTTATTGACACCTTGTTTAACAGTTTCCCATTTTACAACTTTTTTTCCACCAGGGAGACAGACTCTCTTTTTCCCAGATCCATGTCAAAAAAATACTGGGGAAGAACTGCAATTGGCCATTTCAGGTGGCTTCTCACCCTTGGACCAATCAGCTGTGACAAGGAGGGCTGGATCATGTAAGAGCATACCGGCTCCCGTTGTAACCACATGGCTGGAGTGGGGAGGAGAACAGAAATTTCCAAAATGAGGGAGGAGTGTCTTTGCCAGAATATGGAAATAAATGGCTGGGTGAGGGCTCCTAATGTGTTGGTTGACAGTAGCATCTAATCCTCGATTTGTTTAATACTCCTCGTGTCTCCTACTGGTCATAAATCCAAGGTTGCGAATTCTGTTCTAGATGTTCCATAGTCCCCATCATATAAGCTGCAGGGATCTTCATTCTCCAGACCGTAGAAAACAAAGCTGCCAGAGTGTTTTCTGGGCCCCACACTTGCCTGGGTTAGTGGGGCTATTTTTGCTTCTGTAATTGATTCGCCTGAGTTACAGAAAGAAGGGGAAAGAAAAGGCTGACTGATGGCGTTTGCCGTGGGCACAGAAGGAAATAGAGTCTCCTAATGCAAGTCCTCTTCCCTCCCCTCCCTGCCCTCTGTTGCCACTAGCCCAGGAAACTTTGTGGTCCTCACAAGGAGAGTGTAAGCCACCCAGGAGCCAGGAACAATAGCATGTGTGTCTTTAAATTCTGAGAGGCTCTAACTATAGTCCTTACACAGGCAAAAGTATAACAAATATCTGTGGATCTGTTGTTAGCTTAAACCAAGCTTAACCTGTATAAAAGGTCGAAGAGGTACTTGGAGCTACATAGTGATTTGTAAACATCTCCAAACGTGAACATTTTACGTCTTGTTATTGTGTCCAAATGGGACTAACAGGGCAGAGTCCTCTATTTGTAATTCTATTTGTCAACCCCGTAATGTATTTTAAGGAAGAATATTATAGTTGATAGCAATTTTAATTATTTACCAATAATGAATGAATCTGGGTCCCTATTTAAGAAATGCAAGATTTGTATGATTCAAGCATATTATCTCTTACATGTAAACACTAATGAGTCCTATGAAGGTAACAAACTCCAGAAACAGAAGTAGAATCCAAACAAATGTGTTCGTTAGTCTTATTTGTCTTCTGATGATAGATCTTGAACTGGACACATGTCCAGATTTGAACTTTAAAACACAGGTATTCTATTTTAACAGAAAACTTTATAGTAAGTTGATTATGTGACCGTTTATTGTAGAAAAGAAGGGGTTCCTAATGCTTACCACGAAGATAATGCTTGTGAAGATAATGGGTTGCGTTTTTCCTAAGTGGAAATCTTTTTATTGTTTTCCCCCAATTTAGTAAGTAACACAGCATCATTGTAGAAAATTTTAACAATTCAGAAATGAGTATTAAATGTGGACAATTTGAATCCCCCCATGATCCTAATCCCTAGAAATAATTCTTAACAATTTGATGTATATGGGTTTATTTTACGTCACAAGCCCTTGTAGGGCAATTACTATATTCTAAGCACTTATCTAAACACTTTACAGCCGTACCTCATTGCATCCTCCTAACAACCCTACAAGGTAGATACTGTTTCCTTATTGACTGGTGAGGATATGGAGTCTCAGAGGCTTTCATAACTTGCACAAAGAAACATAGTTCTAAATGGCAGAATTGAGATTCAAACACAGCCTGACTCGAGTCCATGCTCTTACTCTATACACCTTTCCAGATCTCTGTTTATGCATATGATGAAAATGTATGTAACATGTTTCCAAGTTCACCTCCTATGGCTAACCTTTCCTTTAACATCCACTTAAAATGGCTTAACACCCCATTCCATGCAATGTGGGAGTCCAGTGTGCCTCCTCTGTAACATTTCTGTGATTTCTTGGAGGTATTTGTGTGGAATCTAAATCCTACTGCCTGGCAGCATCATGTCTAGGCATTTGCTCTCCTCTCTCTTCATCTCTGGATACCACCTTCTTTCTTCTTTCCCCAGAGTACCACTGATATAAATAAGGCAGTTGTGTGTAGAGAACTTTTCGTGAAGATCTGGGGGTAAAAGAGAGGATTGCAAATAGGGGAAAAAATGAGTACAGTATTTACAATGATTGTTCTCAGAGCCTAAGGGAAAATTAAAACATAAACTTTTTTTTTTTTAAATGTAAACATTTTCCAAGTAGCTTCTCCTTGGGCACACTCCATTTCTCTCTCTCTCTCTCTCTCTTTTTTTTTTTAGGTTTTATTTACTTGAGAGTGAGAGCACAAGCAAGGTGAGAGGCTGAGAGTAAGAAGCAGACTCCCTGCCGAGCATGGAGACCGACGTGGGGCTCGATCTCAGGACCTGGGATCGTGACCTGAGCCGAAGGCAGACACCCAATAGACTGAGCCACCCAGGAGTGCCTCCATTTCTTGGTAGTACATACTTTCCTGTCTTGGGAACTTCTTTCTCTCAGACTCTGTCCTTCAGTTACTTTTTTCTCTGTCCAATATCCTTGTCCCCTTTACACCCAGGCTGTCACTCTTAAATACCAGATCACTCTTCTCTTATTATGCAGAGTGATATTGCTCTACTTCTAAATTTTCCTTTCCATTTCATGGTAAGCATTATCTTTCACAACAGAAACATTTTATGGTTGGAACTTGTTTTTCCAGGGGTTCTCAATGGGGATTGATTTCATCCTCCAGAAGATATTTTTGTGTGGAAACAAAGAATTATCCAGCCCCAAATGTCAATAGTGCCAAGGCTGAGAAAATCTGGTGTATAAGAAGTGTCCACCTTCCTTTGGGGATTGTTTTCTCTGAACTGGACAATGCAGTTTTGGTGGAGCCATAAACCATACACCTACTCTCTGACTCAGATGGCAAGGACCTCACTAGGCTGGGTCCAAGTTTGGAGCCCCATTTCCATGGCCATATGACCAAGAATGGACATTTGGATCAACCTGCACCGATCCTGGCCTGGGGATGTATCCTACAGATGCATTCCTACATATGTGCATGGCGATTGACCAGGATATTCAAGAATTATTTGTAATAGCAGTTACCACCCAAATTTTTATCAAAGGGTGACTGATTAAATTATGGTAAAGTCATACAAAGAAATACTGTATTGTGTTTGTTTGTAAAGAGCTAACTGGGTAAGCTAGAACATTTCCCAGAATACCCTTTCCTGGAGGATACCTGAGTTAGAATTATCTAAAAGAGGAATTGGTGGAAGCCTTGGAAGATGGAAGTGATCAGCATCATGACTCTCTTAGGGTCGTAGAAGTGAGATATAGTGCCGGACAGACTCAGGGGTGCTGGTGGTTTTTAGCAAGCCCTTCCTCTTTTTTACTCCATGTCCAGCTTTGCTCTATGTCCTTTTCTTTGCTCCATGTCTTCCTGACTGGTACTTTGCCACAGACATGCAGAAGGAACAGCTGCCCATAGACTTGCCCCCCATTTTCCTTTTTGGTCCTGTTTTGGCAGCAGGATGTGCCTGGCTTCTTAGGTTGACTGGTTGGTGATTCCTCTGAAATGTCAACTCCCCCTTTTGAATCTCTGCTTCCCCAGCTACCCCCCAATATAGAGTCTAATTTCTATAATATATCCCTAATATCATAACTCTAAATGGTTTTGCTTCCCTGATCGAACCCTGGCTGACACAACTGTATAACCTTTGAAAGCAATGAGGCAGCTCTATATACTGATGTGAATTGATCTCCTAGATATATTAAGTGAAAACAGCAAGGTGCTAAACTGATGAAAAATATTACAGATAAAGCTAGAGTCCGTTTTGACCAATAACTCTAATCCTGGTCCCCATTTCTTTTCCCCAGAGGTAAATACTGTTATTAACTCTAAATCAATTCTTATGGTCTGGGGAAGAGTCCTCAGCAAATTGCAACTCCTGTAGGAGTTGTTTTGACAAGATTATTTTATTGACATATAAGTAACATAGAATAAAATGCACACATTTTAAGTGCTCACATTGGTGAGTTTTGATAATTGTATAAACCTGTATAGCCATCGCCCCAAACAAGACATAGACCATCCCTCCTCATTTTTCTGTGTTCTTTTCTGGTCAATTATCCTACCCACTATTGTAACCACTACCTCATTTCTTTTCTTTCTTTCTTTTTTTAGATTTTATTTATTTATTTATTTTAGAGGAGGGAGAGTATGTTGGTGCATGCGTGAGCGGTGTCGGTGGGGGGATGGGTGGAGGGGCAGAGGGAGAAGGAACCTCAAGCAGACTCTGCACTCAGCACAGAGCCTGATGCGGGGCTCAATATCATGAACCAGAGATCATGACCTGAGCTGAAGCCAAGTCGGTTGCTTAACTGACTGAGTCACCCAAGTGCCCCACCACTATCTCATTTCTATCTCCATTAGTTTTACTTGGCTTTCATATAAATGGAATTATATAGTATGTATTCTTTGAGTCTGGCTTTTTTATTCAGCTTAATGTCTTTTGAGATTTGTCCATATTGTTTTTTATGTATCAGTAGTTGATTCTTTTTATGGCTGAGTAATATTCCATTATATAGATAGGCCCACAGTGTGTTTATCCACTTCCTGTTGCTGGACATTTGGGTTGTTTCCAGTTTGGGGCCATTATAAACTCTTATAGCATTTTGAATGTAACTAAAAAGAGATTGCTGGGGCCATTATTTGTAGTATTTTAAAGACTGTGCAAACCACTACCTTAATTTTCCCAGAGAACCTTTACTTCCTCTACAAAGAATCAGAAATTAGGTAGGAAATTGTAATTTGTACTTTTTTCCCCCAAAGTCTTACTATAATTTTGGGTAAGAAAATGGATGAATTTATTCTTAATTTACAGATGAAAGACTCATGCCACGTCTTTAAAGGACTTCCAGAATCACAGAAGGAGTCACTTGTGAATCTAGGAGCAGAGGCCAGGCATGGTGTCTCCCTCCAGAGTGCCATCTAGTAGACCACATGTGTATCCAGACCCGTAGTCCTTGGGAAACAGTGGAATGCTGGATCCCTGTCCATAGGCCCCAAAGACAAGTCTAAAGTGCAGTTTTTAAAGGTATGAATGGAACAATTCTAAGCCCAGACCAGAACATAATTTAACAGGAAAGAATATCCAAAGGAAAAAAGACCATCTCTTCAACAAATGGTGTTAGGAAAATTGGACAGCCACATGCAGAAGAATGAAACTGGACCATTTCATTACACCATACACAAAAATAAACTCAAAATGGATGAAAGACTTAAAGATGAGACAGGAATCCATCAAAATCCTAGAGGAGAACACAGGCAGCAACCTCTTCAACCTCGGCCGCAGCAAGTTCTTCCTAGAAACATCTCCAAAGGCAAGGGAAACAAAGGCAAAAATGAACTATTGGGACTTCATCAGGATAAAAAGCTTTTGCACAGTACAGGAAACAGTCGACAAAACCAAAAGACAACTGACAGAATGGGAGAAGATATTTGCAAATGACATATCAGGTAAAGGGTTAGTATCCAAAATCTATAAAGAACTTATCAAACTCAACACCCAAAGAACAAATAATTCGATCAAGGAATGGGCAGAAGACATGAACAGACATTTCTCCAAAGAAGACATCCAAATGGCCAACAGACACATGAAAAAGTGCTCAACATCACTCAGCATCACGGAAATACAAATCAAAACCACAATGAGATACCACCTCACACCAGTGAGAATGGTTAAAATTAACAAGTCAGGAAATGACAGATGTTGGCGATGATGCAGAGAAAGGGAAACTCTCTTACACTGTTGGTGGGAATGCAAGCTGGTGCAGCCACTCGGGGGAACAGTATGGAAGTTCCTCAAAAAGCTGAAAATAGAGCTACCCTACGACCCAGTAATTGTACTACTAGGTATTTACGCCAAAGATACAAATGTAGTGATCCGAAGGGGCACCTGCACCCCAATGTTTATATCAGCAATGCCCACAATAGCCAAACTGTGGAAAGAGCCCAGATGTCCATCTACAGATGAATGGAATACAGTGACTACAATGGAATATTATGCAGCCATCAAAAATGGAAATCTTACCATTTGCAATGACATGGATAGAACTAGAGGGTATTATGCTAAGTGAAATAAGTCAATCAGAGAGATAATTATCATATGATCTCACTGATATGTGGAGTTTAAGAAACAAGGCAGAAGATCATATGGGAAGAGAGGAAAAAATGAAACAAGATGAAACCAGAGAGGGAGACAAACCATAAGAGACTCTTAGTTACAGGAAACAAACTGAGGGTTGGTGGAGGGGAGGGGTGTGGGAGGGATGGGGTAACTGGGTGATGGACATTGGGGAGGGTATGTATTGTAATGAGCACTGGGTATTACATAAGACATGAATGACAGACCTGTACCCCTAAAACAAATAATATATGTTAATTAATTGAATTTAAATTTTTTTAAAAAGGGAAAAAAACATAATTTAAGTTTTCTGTGACATGGTGATGAAAATCTTTACGGGAATTATGAGAGCTGAACTAACAGTTTCCAGATAATTGAAGTGTGATAATAAATCCAAAGATGATTTCTTCTTTTTTCTGTGATAGGATTTAAGTGGAACTTTTATTTTTAACTCAAACTAGATCATTAAGACCATTGGAACTGTGACTTAGAGTGTTTCATATTTATTGGAAATTGAACTAAAAAGATTTTTGTTCTATAAACTTTAAAGATCAATGGATTATTTTCCTTTTAACATCTAGTGTTAATTAATGGGGCTGACACAATTAATGGCATCAAGAACATTTAATTATGTTTCTTATAATGATGTAATCACGTAAGTGTTTTAATAGGTTAAGTGATCAGCCTAATCTTTTATCTGTTTTTGCAGCAACTTTATCCTGATTTCTTCTTTGTGAGAAAGCTTTTAGTGCTTTAAAAAATTTGAGATAAACTTTTGTTAAATTAATATGCTAATGAAAAATAGTATGTATGCTTCAATAACGAGATTTTCCTGAACATCATCAAAAGATATGATATTAAGAGGTCTGTTTTTATGATAGCTGCTTTAAATCAAAGATGTTGATGAATTTTGAATTCGACTGGTAAATGTCCAGGCTGATGAGTTGCTTAGAAAACAATAAGAATATTTGCTGAATCCATTTTCAAGGAAGTCTCAATTAATAGAACTGACTCTTTTAAATCTCCTCCTAAAAGAAGGCATTTCTTTGAAAAAAATGCTCTGGGCTCAAAGTTTAAGATATGCAATAATTTATTATGCTCTCAGAGTCTGATCTCAAGCAATGTAATATCATTGTGGCAGATATTTATTTACCATTGAAGTAGGAATCGTTATTTGCTGACACTTTGTGGTTTTTCTTTAAGTAGTCCTATTAGATGTGATAAGAATGAATCAACTTAATTTCATCATAATGCTCATACTTTATTTTTCCAACAGAGGCAGCAAAACAGTGTTGTTCTATGTTATACATCTAGCTTCTTTCTCCTTAGTGCTGTTTTTATAGTTCATGCCTTCGTGGTAAAAATATGTATGGCTTCTAATTTAAAGGACATTCGACTGGGAACCCAGAATAGTCTTTAAATGTTCCTTAGGTATTTTGAGTGGGTCAATGCTCTAAAAGATTGCTTTCATCCAAATGCAGTGTCTATTTGCAGTTTTGTAGTGTAGAATAATGGGCAATGCATAAAAAAGAATAAATGCATTTTCAACATTGTTATTTACCTGTAAGTTCTTTACCTTTATTTTTGCTCTCTCTGCAAGTTAAGTGACCACCCCAAGGTCAGAGTCAGATTTGGAGCTTAGAATCTGAGTCATGAGAGTGCTTTATTCTCTGAGCCAAGCCACGCTTCTTCTTCAGTAAAGGAATTAGTGGAGGCCTCAGCTTTCCTTCCTGAAGATAACTGCTGAGACAGTAAGTCACGCCCTTGTTAAACATTAAAAAAAATTGTTCATCCTTGTTATTGTTTTATGACATCCTAACAGTGCAGAGTGAAGTCTTCTTTGTGAGGGATGTCGACTGAAATCAGGCTGCTGGACAAAGCCATGGGTCTGATTTTTAGTGGACCACTCTGTATTAATCATGGAGAAATAAGAGACTGAAAGTCAGAAATGACAGTGCATGTGTGAAAAGAAAACCTACATTTTGTGATTTGCCTGAATGAGAAAGTGCTCTCTCCAATGTCTTCTCTGACCTTACCTGTATGCCTATAACACTTTATAGTCTAAATCAGCACACATTTTAGAACTTACAATACCATGCGTTACTGTTTACTTACTATTACAATACCATGCGTTACTGTTTACTTACTATTTAGGTATCATTCATGTCTCTCTCAGTAGATACTGATCCTTTTGACCACAGAGACTTTTTAAGGATTTGGTGCATAATCATATGGATGCTCTTTCTTGCCCAGCAATACCTACTCTGTGATTTGTGGAGCATGGTTATTAAGAACTTGGGTTCTGGAATCAGAGTGCATTAGTTCTTCTGCTTGCTAACTTTGGGATCTGAGACAAATTCCTTAACCTCTTTGGGCCTCAGTTTCCTCATCTGTAAATGAGAATGACAATGGCAACTACCTCATAGCTTTGTTATGAGCTTGAGATGACTTAATATACACAAAGCACAGAAAACAGTGTCTAGCACATAAGCGTTCAGTATTGCTATTTTAAGACATATTTAATGTCATTGACATTTAGGTTGGCCATAACTTATGGATTCAGGAAACCTAAAGATTCTATTCACAGCTGGCCTAGGACTTCTGTGAGCAATTTTGAGTTATAATGGAGTGGTACGGCTCTGGAAAGTTCCCAGTTGTTCAAATGACGTGAGAAATGGAGCTGAGCTATGAATATAGCCATTTGGGAGAAATTTGGCCTAAGGTTAAGCTGAAGTAAATGGATTGACTCAGAGATCATGACAGTAGGTTGGCACTATATACTCAAAATTATCTTAGCAAGAAATAATTAAAGACAATTCATTGGAGGATTCCAAGGCTCGATAAAATCCTGAATTCAAAATCTCTTTCAGTAAAGTCCTTTAAAGTTGTAGTAGGTTCCTTGGTTGAAATCCAGTAACTCCACTTTGGTTAAATAATCACGTGGTTCTGAAATACAAATGGTGGTGGAGAATGTGGCTGCTTGTATCCAAAGATGATCCTTGGGGCACCTGGGTGGCTCAGTTGGTGAAGCGTCTGCCTTCGGCTCAGGTCATGATCCCAGGGTTCTGGGATGGATCCCCGTGTTGGGCTCCCTACTCAGCGGGGAGCCTTTTCTCCCTTTCCTTCTGCCATTCCCCCTGCTTGTGCACGCTCTCTCTCTCTCTCAAATAAATAAATAAAATCTTAAAACAACAACAACAACAACAAAAATGGCCCCCAAAGAAGTCTACTTTCCAATATATACACTCGTTCAGTCTTCTTCTCCCCATTACTCTAGGATGGCCATGAGACTTGCTTTTGACCCACAGAATGCAGTGGATGTGACACTCTAGGACGTAGGTCATAAGGCTTTTAGTTTTTGCCTGTTCTGTTGGAATACTAGCTCTGGAGGAAACCAGTCATCAGGCAAAAAGTCCAATTATCCAGAGAGAGCCATATTATGAAGCAGTGGTGTACCAAGACAGTGGGAGAGGTCCACCAAGGATGTAGAGAATAAGGGGATGCATTGGATATAGAGAATTTGAAAACAATATTAAAATCAACTAAAGGGGCACCTGGGTGGCTCAGTCGTTAAGCCTCTTGCCTTCGGCTCAGGTCATGATCCCAGGGTCCTGGGATCGAATCCCACATTGAGCTCCCTGCTCAGCAGGAAGCCTGCTTCTCCCTCTCCCACTCCCCCTGCTTGTGTTCCCTCTCTTGCTCTGTCTCTCTCTGTCAAATAAAGTCTTAAAAAAAAAACAAACTAAAAATCAGTCTGCTTTTTATTATTACCATGCACAACCAATTATAAACAGTGATAAAATATTCCTTCCCACTCTTGCTGCCTCTTTCACTCACCCTACCCCCTGTAAGCCAGTGTGGTGGAGCCCAAAGCAGCCATATGGAAGGAGAGATGTCTGACCAGCCTCCAGATGCACCAGCCATTGCAGACCAGGCACCAGGCACAAAGAGAAGAAGCTATCTAGGGTATCCAACCCGCTCTGGCTTTCAGAAGACTCCAGCCCCTGCTGCCATCTGACTGCAATTGC